GGCCAGCCTGGTCTACAGAATGAGTTCCAAGACAGCCAGGGCTACACAGTGAAACCTTGTTTTGAGAAACCAAAAGGGCAGGAAGGGGTTGCTAAGAACCAACCATTTGATTTAGACTGGGCCACAGCAAAGATGTGGTGCAGGAAGATGAATAAAAATCTACATTAATCTATCAATCTAGAGACTAAGGTTAGGATTCAAGTTTGGGACTAACTTCAAGATCCAAGTACCACAATCTCAGAGACCTATTATGGTTGGTTAACCTAACTTAAGGCTAAATAAGAGCAGAACCAATATCCCATTTAAGTCAACACTGGTTCCCTATCAAATTTGACTGGTTCCCTGTCAAATTTGGATGTATCACAAGTTTTACTTTATTTGTGTGAATGTAAGTGTGTGCATGTGTATATGGACAAGTATATGGACATGTCAGAGGGCAACTTAAAGGAGTTGATTCTTTCCTTCCACCATGTAGGTCCTGGGGACTGAACTCAGATCATCAGCTTGGTGGCAGGTGCCCTTATCTGCTAAGCCACCTTGCTGGCTATAACTGGCTATTTTAAAACTTGAGTTCAGTGCCCATTGAGCTTGGATGGATTATCATCACATTTGTAAAAAACACAGCATGTTCCTTCCCAAGAATGGAGCTAGCACTTTGGTTAAAGATGCCCTGGCTCACAAGATTCCTTGTGACATAGTTGGCGATGAGTCTGTTTAATATAAAAATACACACATCCATAAAGCAACCATGTTAAGAATTTAACCACTTTTGCTTGCAATGCCTTTCAGGTCTCATGAGGAATAGTTAACTAAGATTCTTAGGAAATTATCTTTGCCGGAAGGAAGCATAGAAAATAAGCTCCTCATGGTAACAGAAAGCTAAAAAATCCTACAATAAAAACAAAATCTTCACTAAGGCTAGAACGTTCTTGCAAAGCTAGGCAGGGAATAGATCTAGCTCTTTAGGGACCACTGAATGCTTTTCCTTCTTCAGAGAGCTCACAAAGGCCCATTACCTCCAGCATACCTATAGTGAGACACAAAGAGGCTTTCTGGTCCACTCCAAAAGAGTTGGTAACTGTCCCTCATTATTAAGAACAGGAAAAAAAAATCAAACCTTTTGAAAATGTTAGTGTGACAGCAAACAGAACTCAGAAGATACCCTGCTAGCATATTCAGACACTTAGCAAAGTCACTACATCTCAACCTCAGCTGATGGTTTGGTGAAAATACAGAAAAAAAAAATTGGATTTTTTTTTTAACATACACATATATACACATGCATGACTAAGAAGCCAGACCAAAGCCCTCAATAGCCAGCCATTTTACAGCAACATCTCCTAACATGGTGGGTCCTTCACATTTTCTCTCCACATCTGGAATGCCTATTCCAAGGTTAGCAGAACTACTACAAAAGAATGACCTCCAGAGTGCCATCAGGAAACCAAAGCTACAGCCTCACCTCAGAACAAAACCAGCAGTTGAGCAGTAATTCAACTGCTTCTCGAAGTTAGTTTTCCTCAGCAGTAGTTATGGGGGAAGTGGATGTAGGTCAGACTCAGGCAGCACCAGCCTCCATCTGGGGCCTATCTATGTTCCCACACTTGTAGCCCTCTCTGCCCATCAAGTTCTAAGGAGACAGAGAAGGCACAGACAATAGCACTGTCGCCAAGACACCACCACGTTCCATTTGGATTTCCTTTGGCTTTGTTTTTTTGTATACTGTCACATATGACCCTCAATGACTGCAGGACAGACATCTACAGATGAACATATAATAAACCAGGGACTTATATGACTTGTCTGCTCAAGGTTATAAGTCCAGCGCTTTACCCTGAGCCTAGCCTTCCCACTGACTGGCTAGTAAGTTTCCAGGATACTACTTCCTTAGGTTACAGATGAGAGAGGCCATAGTGATGTCTTAGGGGACAGCTGGACAAAGGCCACATGACTACAACTGAAACAACTCAGAAGAAGAAGGCAAAAGGACTAAGAGTTCAAAGCCAACCAATCTGTATTATATACAAGTTTGAGGCCAGTCAGGGTCCACATATTAAGACCCTGTCTCAAAACAAGCAAATAATAAATAATCAAATAAACAAAATACTAAATGAAAAGAGTCAGGGTTCTGGAACTGTCAGGCAAGCACTCTGGTCCCATCTCTGCTACCTATCAGCTAGCTGTCTGGGGTCCTTACCTCCCCTGCAAATGGGGAGTAGAGTTACAATGACGAAAGGGATGATGGACATAAACCATTCACATTTCTTCATTTGCCAGGCACAGTTTAAGATTTACAGCAGTGATCAAGAGACAGATCTGGTCTCACAGGGCTGAGACTTTAGTCAAACTACAAGAAAAATAAGTAAACAGATAAATAAATACTTATAAAACATGCTAAAAAAAATTTAAGATTACCACAAATGATTGAAAACAGTCACAGCAAGGGCCAGATGTTAAGGGTGGCCTCTGAGGAGAAATTTCTGTTGAGCCCTAAGGGGTCCATAGGAGCTATCTATGTGAAGAATGGACGAACAAACATTTCTGTCATAAAGAACGCAAGATGTGCAAGGGTCACAGCATGAGGAAGGCCCAGGAACACGGAAGACAAACGCGATCGCAGTATGCCCTCTCACAGCGTTTTGGAGAACAACCATTACAAGCTGCAACCACTGAGGATTACCACATCTATTTTTAAAATTACAAAGATGAGCCTAGAGAAAGATGCTGTGTCTTGTCCAAGGTCAAAGCTACTCAGAAGAAGACCTAAGGCTGGAACCCCTCAGTATTCTACTTCCTGCGTTGTGAGGAGTCCCTGAAACACCTTGAAAACCCAAGTAATAACAGTGCATCGGCTTCCAGGCATCCGGTCAATCAAGCACTGAAAGTCCCACCTTTGGAATCTTACCACACAAGAGCAAAAGCAGCTCAGACTGAACTCAACAGCTCCAAAGTGGAAACGGCTTCTCTTCTTGCAGCCATGAATGAGAGAGCAAAGGATGCCCCAGAAAATCCCATGGCCTGCTCCAGGAGACAGACCCACTGATGCAAATGAGCACTCACCTCAAGTGAACAGCACAGGAAAAGCTAATTACTCTATCTGTACAAAAGAACAAATCCCTTTAAACAGCAGTTCTCAGTCAGGCTGGGACACCCACCCCAGGAAAAGGCATCTGGGAATTCGTGGAGGCAGTTTGAGGTGAACTGCAGGAAGCCCTGGGTATTCAATAGGTTCAAAGTCTTGCAAAATGACAGAATGGTCCTATATAATAAAAATAAATAAATGTACTACCTATAACGTTAATAAGAGCCTCCCATACATTAGAGACACTGAAAAGGTTAACATCTCCAACTTTCCTTGTTCAGTAGTGCTCCCTAATCGTAGGCCTGAATGGGGGTGGGGGGGGACAAGGTTTCACAGCTGAAGAATGTGAAAATCTAGAATTCAGTGGTAAGCTCCTAACTTTATCAGGGAACCTGGCAGTGGAACAAGGATAAAGAAGTTTCTAGCAAGAGACAGACTTAAGAAATCTCACCCAAAAGGTAATTCCTCTTCTCACTCCTCCCTACAAGCCCTCATAAAATTCTGTGACTTTAGAGAGCTGATTTATACTGTTTTCAGTTTTAAAAGCAGACCGGTGACAGCTTATTTACAAACGTAATCACGACAGTCTTGCAAATACAGTCGACTCCTTCTGAACTCAACTACTTAAGGAAGATTATTAACTCCAAGATGCCTATTGCAGGCTGAATGCTTAGAGGTTGCCGAAGGCAGTCTAAGGGGATCCAAACCAGCCACTATACCCCACCAAAGTTTTCTTCAAAAATTTAAAATTATGGAATTGACCAAAAGAAAGAGAAAAATAAGAGAGACCCAAAAACCCTATTCTGTTTTGAAATAGCTACAAGAGTAAACCCACAGGTGAATCTTCCATGATGGACCCTAAGAACTGAGAAAGCTTTCTCCTACACAGTATCTAAATTTTCACCCAAAGGAGTCTGAATATGTAACTTCTTCACTTCAACTGCTAATAAGCACACAGCGGTCCCACACCCCTTAAGACCAATTTTCCAGAAGCCTGCCCTGCCTTCTCAGGACAGCCATGCAGGCAGACCTGTTTTCCTCTAGAAGTGCCTGCCAGGCCTTTTCTGTCCTACCAGCCAGAGCCTGGGAAATCCCCCTCCAGCCTTTTCCTGGCCTGTCACCAGAAATGCACACACAGAATGAATCCATCCAGAGTCTCTCAACCTTCCTCTTCCCGGTCATGTACCAACTGCCAGGCAGTAATGCCCCACCTTGTCGGTGCTTTGTCTAAAACAAAACAAACAAACAAAAAACCCCAAGAAAATGCAGATTCACTGGGAGAGCAAGCACTTAGTAAGGAGCAGGAGAAAAAAGATGGAGGGATGTGAGAGTCACTGAGCCAAGTCTGCTGAATGCAGCATCAGAGACCAGAACCCAGGGAGGGAGGCTTTCCATATTGCAGACCACACCTGTCTAAGCCGGCCTCCTGCTCCATTTTAAACGATTTGTACAGTTACCCAGCTGGGTGGAAAAGCTAGCAAGGCTAAGGAACCACTTGTCCCTAGTTTTATTTCTTTTCTCACTCTTTGCTTAGAAGACACTACCTCCCTAACCAGACAGGTAGGCACCATGCTGCAGTGACAGAAATGAAGTATACAAGCCAGCCAAGAAGACCTCTTCTCTGAGGATCGTGATGCTAATAAAAGAGACTTCAATGGGCAGGTTTCACTCTGCCATCCACAAGTGAACACATGCCTGCAGTCCTACAACACCCGACTCCGCAGCCTGGTAGACAGCGTCTTCCCTAGGTAGTAGTTACCCCACTTGATCCTATTTATCCTCTGGTAGAGAAGGAACCAAGGGAAAGGCAGGAGTTAGCTTTATACCCATAGCTTAGCACACTGAGAGGTTTGGGGAGCCCCGGCGCGCCCTGCCTTGGCACTCCACCCTCAAAGGCCTCCGTCACCCGCGGACTCACCACTGTGCGAGCTGAACCACCTGGGTGCGATGTGCAGAGGTAGAGCATCCGCCAGCGAGGCTCGGGAGCCCAGGTACAGCATCCCGTCTCTATGGTGACCGCCGCCTGTCTCCTGGTAACCATTGCCGTGAGCATAGGTGGAGTCCGACGTGGACCCTCCGCCGCCCGGCGCCCTCTCTGAGTCGCCGGTCCCGCGGGAAGCGGGGGTGTAGAGGCCAAAGGGCACTCCTCCGGCCGTGCTGGGGTCCATGCCCATGCCCGCCACCGAGCTGACCGAGCGGCTGCGCAGCCCCATAGCCCCGCCGCCCGTCCGGTAGTGCCCAAAGTGGGGCGCTCCTCCCGGCGGCGGCACGGCGCTGTCATCGGTAGAGACCCCCGGGAAAGGGCCCCGAGAGCGAGCCGCCGTGCTCTGCTTGCCCCCCATGTTCGCCCGGGCCCCGGTGGGGCGGGAACCTCGAGGCCGAAACCCTCCCCCACTACTCAGAAGCGGGTGGAAGGCTGGGCGAACATAAAGGGGGGGGGGGGTTTATAGAAGAGCGCCGGGTCAATAATAAAAAACAAAAAAAAAAAAACCTCAGAAGATCCGCGGGGCGGAAAAAGCAAGCGAGCGGGGACCCCAAACTAAGAATTTCAAACAGTCCAAGCCGAATGCATGTTCTCCTTAAGGTCCGAAGACGCGCGGTCCGGAGCGGGCGCCGCGCGCCACAGGCCGCCCCCGGGTTCGAGAGCCTGA